AAAAACAAAAAAAATTGACATTTCATGTAATAGAATTTGGTTGTTTGTCAAAATACACAATTACAATTAAGTTAAAAGTATGTTTATGTGGCTACATTTTAGGAAATTGTTGAGGGAGCATCAGTTAGATGCAGTGACCAAAGTCGCCCAGCAGGAGGAGCTAGAGCGAAGGCAACGTCTGGAAGAGCAAAGGAAGCAGGATTTTCCTCTACCTCTACTGCCTGAATACACAACCGGTAAGAAGATGTGCAAAGATTATTAATCCTTCAGTTTCTGAATCTTACATCTCTACTTTAACGATCTGTAATCAACATTCTTTATCATGCACAATAAAAATGATTGCTAATCAGACACACACCTGCCTAAACTTTTCTCCGTCATTGTCCATTCATTAACTCCATGTGTGCTTCCATATCTTTTCTATTTCTTCCATCTCATAGTTTCTGACTTACATGTTGCATTCTTCCTGTCCCCGTCCTCAGGCGATGTTACTCAGCATGTGCCCTCATCGTCTGCATCAGTGTCATTCCAGCAAAAAGTAAAGGCCACCAGACAGGATGCGATGTGCTTGGAGTCCAGCAGCACGAGTATCAGCGCAGATAAATGCAAGACTGACACACTCACCTCTGCAGCAACAGCACAAACACAAAAAACAGGTGAGATACACAATCCTCAAACGAGGGCTTTATTTTAAAACCAGCCAGCAGGTACTTTAAGTGTTTTGAAGACTTTGATAGTTGAAAATAACTGTTTTAATCAGATACATTAAGAGGATTTCTAATAGTGTTCATTTTAAGACCCATTATCAATGGTTTAAGCACTTCTGTGCTACAGTTGTTGCTGCAAATTGGGCTTTAAAACACAAAGTTGATGACATATAAATGAGCTGTTTTTGATCAGGTTTCATAAGTGTGCAGAACCACACACCCCAGATTTTGAAACCAAAATGGAAAAATGGAAAATGGAAAAAATGTAATGCACCTCTAAATACCAAAATTTAAATAGGGTGTACTTTTTTGACTAAATATAAAAATGTAGTTTTGAATGTAAATGAACTATTCAGTTTATTTACATTTTTCATTTCAGTTTTAATTTTTCCAATCCAATGCGCAAAGTTAAAAAAAAATAAAGACAAAGAGCATAGAGGTATGTATATTTCTGGATTTAAACTGAGAAAATAATATTTTTTTGTTTAATTTCGCCTAGTTTTAACAATTCAATATTTTTATATTCTAATGTTTGACTGTAGTTCGAGTAATGTCTTGGTGCTGGTTACGTTTGTCACTCAAAAAACCCTCAAACTCTTTATCATACCATAAAGCTTGGATGACGTAGAAACCAGATAGCTTCAAACGACTCAAACATGAAAAAAAAAAGTATAATATGAATTATACAAGCAAAGGTGAGGTTCAGCAAAGCTGTTATCATACACAGCTGCATTTGTGCCATCCACATTGTAACCATGTTAAATGAATGTGATAAAGCCTCTAGTTCTACTTTCTTCTGTTTCAGTCGGGTATCCGCACAGGCATTGTCGGAGTTTTATATGCATGTTCGATGTCTTCTTCTCTGTTTCTGGTGTTTTAACATGGCAGCTTTACAGCGCCACTTACAGGCATGGAATTGTAATTACATGCAACTTTTTGTCATTTGCCATCCTGCTGCTGTGTGGGCTCTTTTCACACCAAGGCCTTTACAGCCTTGAACAGTTTATGAAGATGTTTTCTAAAAGATGCTGTAAACAAATAATGAGAAATGAAAAATTAAAACAGGCTGATGGCCTTTAATTGATTTTCACCGTCGTGTTTTTGAAAATGACTAGAATAAATCTCACTCCCTTTATCCAAAACTTTTGAGCTTTGCTATATGTTACTGCATGTTTCTCATCCTGTAAGCCTGCATGCATTCAGTGCTACATTAAATCTGATGGTTAAGTCAGAGCCTTCCCGAGTGGCTCATCTGGGTAGAGAAGTTACTGAGATTGAATGACTTTCCCATTGCCTCATAAAGCCGCATATCTACTATTTACTTTTCAACAGCCATATAACAAGCATCCATTTATTAAATTACACAGCCTATTTTAAATTGACTTTTTACCTCCAGGGTTTGGAGGAGCAGCACATCAAAGAGACTTTATCGCTAAGAATTTCCAGGAGAGAAAAAAAAAAGTTTTTTACTCGAAAACCACAGGAGAGATGTGTACTAGTATTTCTTTTTAAAGTTTTATCAGATGGGTTGTTAAATGACGAAGATTATTTTTAGCATCCACAAAGAGATCTCAGTGTCACATAAACTTGCCTACTTTTCTGTCTTTTTCTTCAGTTCTCTTCTCCTTTTCTTGTTTAGATAGCAGAGACAACATAAACAAAGTCAATTTCCAACAGAAATAGGCAAGATCCTGATAAATGTTTCTAAATTTTTCAAGTTGATTGACTGTAAAACTTACTTGGAGCCATTTAAAACTCAGTTGTTACACAAAGTTAAACAAATGCAGTTAACATGACCGTGAGACTTTTGTAAGTTAAGAACAGTTCAGTAATTCTTCTTTTTCCATCGATGTGCTCAGATACACACACATCCAGCAAATCAATCAAATAGTCCAAATAAAGACACACACACAACCTGGGGTATATAAATGCATATTTTAGACTCCAGATCAAAGCAAATTGCAGACACACACCTGCAGTGTAAGGAGAAAGCTGGAGACAGGTGAACAGGTAAACACAGATAAATAACGAGAGGCAGAGGGATGAAAAGTGAGATAGCCGAATGGAGGGAAGAGGGATGAAATGAGAGGGGTAATAAACCCGGCAGAACACACACACACACACACACACACTCATAATGAACACACACCTGCACCACACACCACAGTGGCACAGTGACATTTCCAGTTGGGGTTGCATAACCAGTCGCCCCCTCCACTCTAATCCTACTTGTATAACCAGCCATTCACTGCAGTTATATAAGCTCACTCTGAATTTTTTTTTTTTTAACACACACTCCTCCTCTTCACAGCGTGCTCTCTCAGGCTGCCAGCTTGTATAACTTTGATACTCCTTTCTGTTCTCGCTTATCAGACAGATTTTGCCCGACAAACACAGACGGACTCGATTTCTGTTATCGCTGGACAACTGATACCCCCAGCTAGCAGAGATGAGAGCGGCAAGGCTTATGGAAATTTGATGGGAACATATTGTAGCAGAAAAACTGCAGCAGATGTTTTTTTTTTTTTTGTTTTGTTTTGTTTTAACACTGAAAGGCTTTTTTTCCTTCAATTAAAGTATCCCCTGATGTTTATGCTTCTCTTTTACATTCATACATTTAGTTATTAGTGTCCTGTCATTAGAGCTATGTTTATACCAGCATTTAACACTGTGAGGGCTTGTTTTGTTGACAAGCTAATCTAACCTTAACATTTTCTGCAATGTATATAGAAGTGCTGACTAGACAGGAGTCAAATATCTTCTATCAAGATTTTAAAACTCCTCAAATGTTTCTTGTTGGGTGGTTTGAAGCCCTTTTAATGAGATGCTAGAAAAATTACCAGGATGCCATAAGCACACACAACTTTACCCTCCCCCACTTGTTGCTGAGCAGCGCTGGTCGTATAGCTGAAAAACGTTGATAAACTTAAATGAGAGATGTTTGTATAATTGCCTGTATCCTTGTAATACCTTTCCACCTTGGCATTTTGTTCCAATGACGCTACAAGAATTGAAGCCATGAGGCATTTAGCTCTGCAGTCATATCAGCTTTGCCATGTAAACCACACATATGAACTACTGCTGCCAAATCAACATGACTGTGCAACAATGACCTTATAACACTATATATATATAGTACATAGTGTATATTTATGTTTATGTACAATCATAAATAAATATTTGTATATAGACAAGACAGTGGCGTCATGAAAAAGTAATGTAACCGGTTGTGACTCAGCAGAACACCGTCAGTCCCGTCCATATGATTCAGCTCATTTAAAATAGATTTTTTTTTTCCAAAGAGTTGTCTAATATGCGTTTCAACAACATTTAATTTTTCCTTCTGTGTATCAAAAGCAGCACATAGACTCATGTAAAAGGTGCTTCTTAAAACAACTTTAATGGCAAAGTAGAAAACAGTGAAAGCTAAAACTAAATTTTGGTGTTTTTTTTCTGCGATACCTGTTTTTTCTTCTTTCTATCTATTCTTACTTAAACACGGTGTTAAAAACTCATACTGCCTCACCTAAAGTCCTCCCTTCAACTAATGACGGACATAGAAACGTTGTTTGCTTCCATTTACTTCAGTAAACTAACTGCATGTTTTGTGTGTATTTTTGTGGGGAACTGAGAAGCCAGCATGATTTTTGTCATGCCAGAATGCTCCCCTCAACATCAAACCTCAAATCTAGTTGTAAGACCAGGTTAAAATTTGATAGATAATAATTGTATTGTAAGTTTTGAGACCTTATTGATTTCTCTGCTTATTTATCTTCTATTCAGAAATAATAGATTTGAGGACAGATGACTACGACACTGTTGCTCAAGTCTCCAAAGAGGAAGAGGAGAGCGAGCCTAGTGGTGCACATGCCAACGACACCCAGAACCAACCGGACGCCCAAGGCAGGGTGCTCGTCAACCTCAACCATCCAGAGGCAGATGAGGACATTTTCCTGTCGCCACAGCTGGCGCGAGCAGTCAAACCTCACCAGGTATCAGGATACACTCAGAATAAGCATACAGATAAAAGTTCAGCTTTAGATGTGATGCGTGGTTAAAATATCCGTTCACTGGAATCTCTAGAATTTGGATTTCTTCTCTCTTCTTGGCTGCGTCACTTCATCTCATGGGTCTTTCTCAATCCGTCTTCAGATTGGCGGAATCCGTTTCCTGTACGACAACTTGGTGGAGTCCCTGGAGCTCTTCAGCAACAGCAGCGGATTCGGCTGCATCCTGGCTCACAGCATGGGCTTAGGAAAGACGCTTCAGGTCATCTCCTTCATCGACGTCTTGTTCAGGCACACTCAAACTCACACTGTGCTCGCCATTGTACCGGTAAGCATCTGTGGGCCTCCTCCATTTGATGCCTGGACAATGATAATAAAAAGGTTAGATGTAAATGTGCAGATGGTTTCATCTGTATAGCGTAAAAAGGAATTGTGCCGAGTACTGAACCCCATGGTATCCCAAAAATGGCTAAAGAGGTGTGAACAAGATTCATCTTCACTGTGATCCAAACAAACCAAAATCTGATACACATACTTATTCCCTTCCAGGTGAATACACTGCAGAACTGGCTGTCGGAGTTCAACACATGGGTCCCTCCTCCTGAAGCATTACCTCCAGACACCGATCCTACACTGGTCACACCGCGTGCATTTAAAGTTCACATCCTCAACGATGAACACAAGTAAGTGACCGGAACAATTACTGAACTGAAAATGTCTGTACATAATATCACCCAACCATTTGTGTTTTTTTTTTTGGGGGGGGGGGGGGTTGTTGGGGAAAGCATTTTTATTTGACAAAGAATAGCCTTTCATTTCCTCCTGACACCCAGAAACACAACGTCCAGGGCAAAGGTGGTGGAGGACTGGTCTCGGGATGGTGGAGTCCTGCTGATGGGTTACGAAATGTACCGTCTCCTGTCTTTGAAGAAGAGCTTTGTGGCTGGGCGGAAGAAGAGGAGCAAAAAAACTGGAGGACCTGATATCATAAACCTAGACGAAGAAGACAGACAGCAGCAACTTCTAAAAGGTGAGGAAAGACATAGAAGGGGAAAAATGAGGAAGTTAGGGGAGAGAAAGTGAAGAAGATTAAAGTAAAATTAGAGTAAAGAAAGATAAGGGAGCTGAAATAGCTCACTGAGGTCGTGTCTTTTCTTAAGGTGTTGAGAAGGCCCTTTCCCGACCCGGTCCGGATGTGGTGATCTGTGATGAAGGACATCGCATTAAGAACTGCCACGCCAGCACGTCTCAGGCCCTAAAGAACATAAGAACCCGGCGGCGCGTAGTCTTGACCGGCTACCCGCTCCAGAACAATCTCATCGAGTACTGGTGCATGGTCGACTTTGTCCGACCCGACTTCCTAGGTATGTGGTGAGGTGTGTTTATGATTCTGCATGTCTGCTTTTCCTTCTGAATCCTGCTCATTTTTTTGTTGTTGATTTTTCACATATTTCAGGAACAAGACAGGAGTTCAGTAACATGTTTGAGCGCCCCATCCTTAATGGACAGTGTGTGGACAGCACGCCTCAGGACGTCCAGCTGATGAGGTACAGGAGCCACGTCCTCCACAGCCTGCTGGAAGGCTTTGTACAGAGGTAAGAGCATCGCCGCTCAGGAAATTAAACTTAGTCTCTCTTAAGAAACTCTTTCTAATACTGACTGGTTTATTTATACTCCAGACGAGGCCACGATGTCTTGAGGGACCAACTTCCCTCTAAGGATGAGCATGTGATCCTGGTGCGTCTGTCTCCCCTGCAGAGGGCACTCTACACCGAGTTCATGAACCGCTTCAGAGAGGCAGGGAACACCGGCTGGCTCAGCCTCAACCCCTTGAAAGCTTTTTGTGTCTGCTGCAAGGTCTGTGTGTGTCCAAAATGTTGCTTATCCTCCTCAGTATTATACTTTTATTCATTTGGAACTGCAATTTGTTGTCATTTCTTAGATTTGGAATCATCCAGACGTGCTGTACGAAGCTTTGCAGAAAGAAAACCTGGCAAGTGAGCAGGATTTGGATCTCGACGACATCACGTCCACTTCACAGGGCAGATGTCCGACGGCAACACAGGCTCCAAAGTCAAAGAGTTTGGACAACCCGGATCCAATCTGTGGACTGAGTCTGAACCAGTTGCAGGAAAAAGCCAATCAGGTCATCACGTATGAGTGGGTATGTGCCAGTTTGAGGTTTTCCAGTATTAGATCTTAAAAATCGTTTATGTGACAACAGATCTAACGGCATTTCTTTTACTCCTTCACATGGCTAGGCGAAAGAACTGATGTGTGACTACAAGCCTGGCATCCTGGAGAACTCGGCAAAGATGGTGCTGCTGTTCCATCTGATAGAGGAAAGTGTCAGGAAGGGAGACAAAATCCTTGTGTTCAGGTGAAAGATCAAAATACAGCAAATCTGTTTCCTTTAGGATAGAAACTCTTGGTTGTGGGATTCCCAAACCTTTCTTAGCCGTATTGTCCCTCTCGTCGTTTTCTACCTTGTCATGGACCTTCTGTATGTGGTCTTACGTTTTCTCCTGCTCCTCTTTCAGTCAAAGTTTGTCCACACTTACCGTGATCGAGGATTTCTTGGCCAAGAGATCAGTGCCTCCTTCACCATATCCAACCGACAAAGACCGACCCAACCAGAACTGGGTCCGCAATCTCAACTACTACAGTGAGTCACCACTGATTATGTTTTCAACAAGTTTCAAAGACTGACCATCCAAAACACACCTAAGGAAGAACAAATTTCTTTCAATCTCTGTTTTATCTGATACAAAATAGTCATGACTCAATATTTAGTTCTGAATGTTCTGTAGAAATTGCAATTAGTTTGAATATTGCACCAACATTTTTGCTATGCTCAAGTCTTAACCTTGATACACTGATAAATCTGTCTAATCTGTAGAAGGAGAGTCTTTTCTTCTGACTGTAGTGATTCTATGCATCAGTTTTCATTCAATTGCACTGACATGCAATGAGTGCTGCCACCTGCAGGCAATTTTAATTCGCAGACAGACTTCGCTTCCCCTGGTTACTCAAGTACTTAAAAGTCATGAAAACTGTTGCTGGTCTGTAATTTATCAGTGCGCAGAATGATCCTCTTACTACAACCTTAGTTTGTTTTTTTTTTGTTGTTTTTTTTATCAAGCAAAGAACTAGTTAAAAGATAATTCTCTGTCAAACAAAAACATGTGCAGTTTCTTACTTTTGCTTGTATATATATTTTTTTTTTAAATTTAAGTTTAACTGTGGATTTGCTGTGGGATATTTTCCAGGACTGGATGGAAGCACGACAGCTTCAGAGAGAGAGCGACTGATAAATCAGTTCAATGACCCGGCCAATACCTCAGCCTGGGTTTTCCTACTTTCAACCAGGTAAACCCCACCTCCAACACACAGACACTATAACCATTATTAATATCAAGATCCAACATCAGAAATAATGTAAGATCACTATCTGGACCTCAGGGCTGGTTGTCTGGGTGTGAACCTGATTGGAGCGAACCGAGTGGTGGTGTTTGACGCCTCCTGGAACCCCTGCCATGACGCCCAGGCTGTGTGTCGCGTGTACCGCTACGGACAGCGGAAACCGTGTCACATCTACCGCCTGGTGTGCGACTTCACTCTGGAGAAAAAGATTTATGATCGTCAAATCTCCAAGCAGGGAATGTCTGGTGAGTTTGGGACTTCTGTGCTATGAGTCTACAGAAAAGGAGCACGATCTGGAATCATTTGAGTTCTCCAGGAAGAATATTTCCAAAATGTGCCTCACAAGCTGTTCTGGCTCCCTGCTCAGGTGTCAAGCCTGTCAAACGTAGCTTTAAATCTCTCTCTGTTTAGTTTCCACAGCATGTCCAAAACACATTTAGACAGTAAAACAAAAATGTGGTCGGGGGAAGCTAGAACCGAAACCATAAATTTTCAGATTGCAAGACGCTTTCAGCTACTTAATAAATGTTTATTCATGAACAAAAACCATAAAACTAAACAAATTGCCTTTGTCATGAAGCCAACCTTTGATGTTTTTTGAGTTTTAGAAGATTAAAAAAAACATGCATTTTGGATTACTATTATTAATTTTTTTTATATATCCCGTTGTATCATTAATTGCATGATTTCTCTTAAATCTTTTCACAGTTCTTTTGTCTCACTCTTTTTTCACAATTTCAGCTACGTATACCTTTATAAAATTAAAATGTTGCTCTCCCTTCTTCCACCAGACCGTGTCGTGGACGACCTGAACCCTGTGCTGAATTTCACCAGGAGGGAAGTCGAGTCCCTGCTTCACTTTGTGGAGGAGGAACCGGATCTGTCCCAGGTCCAGCTGCTGCCCGGAGAAATCAGGGAGAGCGTTCTGCAGAAAGCTCTGCATCTCTACTCCCACCTTATCACCAAGGTAGGCGGATGTCATGCATATTTAAAAGTGAACTAAAGCCAAATTAGTCAAATTATGAAAAAAAAACACTGCAGGGGAACTGTTAAAGGTTGCAAAAGACGTCAGTTAAAACTGAGGCAAAGGTTCACTTTACAGCAGGACAGCAACAATAAACATGTGACAAGAGCTACAGTGGAGTAGTTGTTGGCATACAGTAATTAAATGTGTACAAGGTCTGGATTCTAGATAATAGATTCTTGCAGTTTAAATGATTAATCTGATTAATTGTGATTAATCAATCCTTCTTTGTTTGTAAATATATTTAACTCAGGTCTCCTCAAGTGCCATCATTTTAGCTTAACCCAGTTTAAGTTCTGCAAACAAAATCTCATACTAAGCCTCTTTCACTACGCTGGACGTTACGTCAAGCAAGCTGACCTTTTCACATGTTGATGTTTGAAGTGTTTTTTTTAGCTGCAAATGATCCAGCGTACACTAAACATATTCAGTGTTATTGTATTTTAGGCAATGACATAAAAAGGAATTTAGTTGTCTCTTTGGCTTTTTCATGTATTTCTAATATTGTATAAAAAGGCCTAAATGGTTAAATGAAAATGTGCAGAATGTGCAATTTTTTTTTTTTTTTTTTATTTGATTGACAGAACAATCAATTACACACATAACTTGCAGTCCTAAAGGATATGAATACTTTTGCAGGGCACTATTTAAAAAAAAAAAAAGAAAAAAAACTGAAACAAAGTCGATTCAGATTGGAACTCTAATCACCTATAATCTTCCTCTTGTTCAGCAACCCTTCCCCCATGAGTCCCTCCTGATAGACCGCAGGGAGCTAAAACTGAGCAGCGCTGAGAAGAAAGCCGCCAAGAAGGGCTATGAGGAGGAGAAGAGGGCATCTGTGCCGTACACACGCCCGTCCTACGCTCACTATTACCCTGCCAGTGATCAGAGCCTCACCAACATCCCTGCTTTC